AGTCCCTGGGTTCCCCTTCCAAGTCGCCTTGGCCCCTGGGTCGAACGCCGAGGGCATTCATCTGCCCCTCGTCAGTTTGTCTACGAGGACCTGGATCCGTGGGGGGATTCGCTCGTGCAGGAGTGAGGCCCTCGCCCCCCGTAGCCCTGGCGTCGCCGAGGGCCGTTCATCTCTGCCCAGCAGCGCCTGGAGAGAGGGAGATTGGGCGCCCAGCAGCGGGCATGGGAGCGGCATGGGGAGAGAGAGGAGGTTAAGTTAGGCGGGAGGGCATCCTGCCAGCGATCATCACATCCAGGGAAGCGACGGAAGGTCGCAGCGTCAATGTGCATTCTGTCGACGTCCTCGCGACCACCCCCTATGGGGGTTAGCTCCCTGGTGCATTCTTCCCCGTCGCACCGTTCCCCGGGTTGAACACCGCGGGCATCCCTCTGCCTGCCGTCATCTGTTCCAGGGGAGCGACTGAAGGTCGCAAGATCTGTGCGAATCGCGGGGATGGACGCGCCACCCCCTCCTCCAGCGTCGCGCCTGCCGCTGTCAGGCCCCTGGAGGCGACCTAGCGCAGCATCAGCGTCGACGTGCGCGCCAAGACCTGCGGGCCCGTCTTCTACGCTCAAAACGCAGCGGAAGGCTGCTTCACTCGGCGCGATCGCGTCCAGGAGGGGGGGCTCGGCGGAGTGAGGGCACAAGCCTCTGTGATGCGCGTCGGGGCCAAGGGCAGGCGACTGCCCGTCTCCCCCCCCGACGCCCTCGCGAGCGCCTGCTGGGGGTGTCGGGCCCCTAGCCTCCCCCTCCACGCCGCAGAGGCCTCTGTGTCGGAAGCCGAGGGCGCCTCTCTGCCCCTCCTCAGACTGCCTAAGAGGACCAGGATCCGTGGGGGGATTAGCTGTTTCAGGAGTGGGGCCGTTGGCCCCCGTAAACCTGGCATCGCCGTGGGCGATCCCACTCTGCCCAACACCGCCTGGAGAGAAAGAGATTGGGCGCCCAGCAGTGGGCATGGGAAGGGTAGGGGTGCGAGAAGGAGATGAGCTAGGCGGGAGGGCCTCATGCCTGCCATTATCACATCCAGGGAAGCGACGGAAGGTCGCAATCTCAGAGCGCATCGGGGGCTGACCGCATCAACCCCTTTTACCGCTTCGCGCCTGCCGCTCTCGAATCCAGGGAAGCGACGGAAGGTCGCAATATCGGTGTGCATCACAGGGTTGAGAGACTCAACCCCTCCTTCCGTTTGGCTGGGGGCCAACGGTCCTCGTGCGCGTGAAGCATCGGCAGAAGCGCCCCCACTCCAGGGAGCAGAGGGCGACGGCTGCCCTGGCGGGATGGTGTCCTGAGATCTAGGGCGAGGATGTCCTGAGTCAGCCAGTCCACTGGCCCCAAGGTCGACGACAGGTGACGCGGCCCTCGTCCCCACAGGGATGACAGGATCATCGCCGATCGATCGCCCGTCCATGCTAGGCGGAGGGCCGCTCACGAGGCCGAAGTCGAGGAATCCAGGGAGTCTGCTATGGCGGCCCGGCCCCGGGGGAGAAGCGCGGCAAAAGACTCCTAGGGGAAACCCCTTGAGCTGGGAGACCCGGCCGAGGGACCGGGGCCCAGAAACGGCCTTGAGCCAGAGGGCTACGGACTGGTGGGGATACGCGAAGCGTCAAGAGTTTTTATTTATTTTTTAAACAAAAAAAATGCGTCCGCGCGCACGACGACGATGAGCGACGAGCGACGAGCGACAAAGACGACGACGACCACGACGACGACGACGACGACGACGACGACGACGACGACGACGACGACGACGACGACGACGACGACGACGACTGCGGACCAGACTCCCGTGCGCATTCCTATGCGGACACGCATGCGGATCACGATGCGCACGGCAGCAGTGCCCGGAACGCACTGGGGGGGAGCGTTACGTCAGGGGGAGCTGGGGGCCATGACGCCTGTTATGCCCCAAGCAATAAAGCAACGGGCGCCTCATCATCCGATCCCTTTTTTGCATGTCTATATATACACATACATACATACTCCTATTCTTACATTTCTACAACCCGGAAGCACCCCCCCCTAAACACGACCCCCCCCCCAGGGACGCCCTGGACGCTCTTTCGGACGTCTCAGCGGCCTTCTGGACGCCCTGGGAAAATGTCCGCTGGCCCGTCCGGGCCTCCCAAGGCGCCTTCCCGGGCCTCGCGAGCAAACTCACGGCGATCTGAAGGGTCATCGGAGAGGCGCAAGAGAGACCCAAGACAGCACAAGAGCGCTCCAAGAGGAACCTCGATGGTCTGCAGACTTTTTTGGATTGCATTGCTGAGCATTGCTCGTCAAGGTCTTATCGACGCTGCTTTGCCATCGCCTTCGCCTTGACTGGGCGGAGGCCTCTCCTGCTATTGAATTCCGCAGCAGCTGCAGAGCTCCCTGGCCAGATACCTTTAGCAATCTGCTCCAGGTTGTACCTGCCGTCCTTGGTGGTAGGACGGCACTCCTTGGCAAGGTTCCTGAGGGCTCCGCCCTCACAAGCACACATATATCCACAGTTGCTGCAATAAAAAATGGGGATGTCTTCATGGGCCACAACATTGTGCGACTGATGAGGAGATCGGCCCCCGATTTGTAGCCTCTGGTGGGCCTCAGGGACCCTTCCCGCGGGGTGGGCTGCACCATCAGGGACGCCAACTGGGTGACAGGGGGTCAAAAGCCATTTGAGAACACGGGCCCTGCCACCCACACGACCGAGACAAACCGAACACGTGGCTTTGATCCCCTGTCGTCCCTGCTTAATTATAGTCGGGGTATGTGCACTGGTCGCCACAGCTTTCTGCAAGACGCTGGGGCGGGGTGCTCGCTGCTGCTCGGCCAGGGTCGGGAGTCTCTCAACCTGGGCCCTAGCTTCGTTATCGGCCTGCATTACTTCTTCAAGCACAGCGCACAAACGCCTACGAACTCTGGCGGCTTTAGCTTCAACATCTTGAACATTCTGGACCTGGTCGGGGTGAAGCTGAAACTTCATAGCCGCGTCATCAGCCTGAATATCTACTAAGCTGTTGGCCTGGATCCACAGCTCTGGAAAATTCATTTCAGCTCGCCTGGCTTGGGCCACATGGCTTTCAACCTTATGGCAGAAAACGTGGCGCCCCCCTCGGGCCACCCGAAATCTCTTCCAAAGGTCCCTATTCGTTCTGGGTTTGCTGGCATCGGGCCGACACACGCCACGGACCACATAAGCCGAGTCAGTTATAAAGTGAAGCTCGCCGTCAGGCGGTAAATTAAACTCAAGGGGGAGGTCCTCCAGCCAGCATATAAGAGCCATCAATTCGGCACGGTTGCTAGACTGCTTCGGCCCTGGGAGGTTCCCCGCTTGGCCCTTAATGGCCCCAATATGGTTCCAAGTAGGGTCTTTACACCAAGCAGCAAGATGGGTAAATGCCCATCCACATCTACAGAGGCGAGGGTCTTTGGTGTGGGCTCCTCCAGAGCCGTCCCCCGCCCCCCAGAACTGGGTCCCTGGCTCGAGGTTGGCAATGGCCTCAGGTTGGGTTTGCCACGTCCACACGTGGGCCTCACTGAGGGGGGGATCGACATCGGTCCACGACGGCGGGATGAGACCTCGAAGCCAGAAACAAGGAAACTGCTGATACCCATCGGCGGCCTCTTGCTCGAGGTCAGCCGTCTCGCGGCAGACGGCCAGATTACCGTTGGCACTGCACTGCCATGATCGATGAAAAGGAGTCTCTGGCTGATTGAGATTACACCGCACGCAGTATGAATCGGATTCGCCGAAAATGCCAGCCTCGCAAAGCCGAGACCTCGGCCAGGTCGATCCAGTTGCCATGGCCATAACATTACCCCTGATGCCTGGAGCAGCTGTGGAAGTCATCTTATCTAAGGTGCGGAGGGACTGCCGAAGGGAGAAGAGGTCCGCCCCACCCTCCAGCCCCCCACCCAAGTAGTGCTGGCTTGCTTGCTTCCACGCTTGGCTCCACAGGCTCTGGGTGAATTCTTCAAGAAAGGGTTCATAGTCAATATCGCCAGACTGCAGTGAGAGTTGCCACCAGTCGTCTGTGACAGGTGAGCACCAGGTTAAATACGTGTCATCAGTGGCCGTCCAACCCGCATCCAGAAGCACCGCGACCGCCCCCGACATCGGTCCTCGAGCATGTCTCCAGCGGTTGGTCTTCGGGGTCTGAGCGACACGGTTGGCCACCTTGGGCCAAGCCCTGGCAAGTCTGGGAAGGACGTGCTCACTGTCTTTGTCACGGGTGATAAACTGAAACCATGTCTGCAACTGGCGAACTCTAAGTTCTATGCCTGGGTTGCGATTCCCAAGTTCAAGCGCCAAGTAGGCAGTCAGGCAGCGCCCAGCCTTGCGACCCCCAAGCGCCCCCGCCACAGCGCGTTGAACCTTCAAAATCTGGGACGGGGCCATGCCTGTAGCCATAGCTCCGTAAGCGATACGGGGCACAGGAGACATCAGGGTCAGCTTACGCCTGGCTAGGCGGATGCGACTAAACTTAGAAACCTTACGAAACTTAGAAAGCTGGCGGAACGCTTGGCTGACACGCTTGTTGCGCTTGATTTTGCGCTGCCTTCTGGACCCCCTTTCGAGTCCAAGGTCAGCGATCACAGCACTAGGTTTAAGCTTAAACTCTGAAACATTCTTGTTAAATTCAGCGCAGACTGCTTTGGCCATGTCGATGTCGGTCCCGATAACCCCAGACTTCCCCGAGATGTCGAGGCCAAGGGAACGGGCACCCCGAAAAAAAACCGAGGCCGCCTTGGCCAGGACGGGGGCCAGGATATGTTTCGGCCCTTCAGCGCGCTGGTTTATATCATCAACCCATTGGTATGATCTGACACCTCTGGGTAAAAACTGGCGGTGGATATCATCGAGCAAATCGTATAACACAGCTCTGGCAAGATTATTTGCATCGCTATCTCCAGTCAAGAGCGATCCCGTGGGCTGAATGGGTGCAGCGATCGCGCCCCTAGAGCGCAGCATCCTCGGCGACATGTACAGGACCGCCGCCATGCCGAGCTTCCTGGGCGAGAATTCCAGCTTGAGCGCCGCCTCGAATGCCATGATGGGGTTGACGCTGTCGTAGAATTCTGCGAAGTCCCACATCACGTTAGCATAGTGTATGTCCAGCTCGTCATCGACTTCGTCGCAAAACAGGCGGAAGATGCCGCACTGGAGGGCACTGCTGCCCTTGATGGCCTGGTCCCAGTGCCCGGCCTTGGCAGCGCACCAGTCGGCCCCAATGACCTTACGCATCTGCGCCCAGAAGCGCATGAGCCATGGAATCAATGCAACGCCCCTCTCCGAGCCGTCTGGCTTCGGAAGCATGCCCACCAGTACACTCATGAGCTGCCACGGCCACGCCATCTGCCTCTCGCATTGGTTGAAGAAGTCGGCCAAGTCCTGCTTCGCCTGAAACGGCAAGTTGCGAATGTCCAGAGGCCCGAGGTTGTCGCTGCCACGGCCCGTGGCGTTGGGCAGGACGGTGGCCTTCTCGTGGATGAGGTGGGGGTCTATGGGCTGCCATGCGTCCTCATGTTCCGCAAGGCGTTTGCACTTGCGACGGAACGCCTGGAGATCGGAGAGCTTCACCGTGCCGCTCCAGCGCTGCGCCCATGCGCCTCGTTTGCCATCCATGATGCTATACAAGTCGGTGGAGGCAGCAGGCCCGACCCCGTACTCCATGATCGGCCCCGCTGAGTCGGTGCTCCACTTGAGGACCTTGCTGGGTCTCTTGGCCGTGCACTGGACGACCCACTCCTGAAACGCCTGTAGTCCTTGTCGGACTTCAGCTCGCTGAAATCTGTCGGCCAGGATCCCCAGTGCGTAGGCCATGGTGGCAGCCTGGCCAGTGGTCCAATCACGCACAGCTGATAGACCATGCTGCCACTTAAGCTTGGTGGCATTGTCGATAGGCACAAGGTTGTCGTCGGGCATAGCATGGGCATGCGTGTAGATGATGTCCGCCGCATTCTCGCCAGCCTCGGAGAGCGCGTCGTCCATCCTGGCCATGGCCTTGGCCAGCAGCTGGGTACATGCTGCCATAGTGCTCCACCATCGCGTTGCCCGACTAGAAGTGCAAGCCCCCGTGCCTGCTCGAGGTGCTCGGATCCTCATATGTGCAGGAGCACGGGCCAGGCCTCGGCCAATATAGCGGTGCCGCTCGTCAGCTGATACCTTCATGGTGTCAGTATAGAAGTATTCCACGTGCGTGATCCATCTGGCGTACTGCATGCCCAAGTCGTCGGCGGCCTCGGACGAGGACTGGTACGCCTGGGAGTCCCGAATGTAGTCGGGCGGCTCGTCGTACTGGACCTGGCGATGGCAGACCTGTGCCCACAGCTCATCCTTCTCTGCCGCCGTGAGCCTGACCACCGTCGGGCACGGCGGCGTCGTCGGGAAACCCAGCAACCGGTCGTGCGACGGCTGCTCATCGTGGTCCATGTCATGCGCCACCGCAGCACTGGAGGCTGCCCCTGCCTCGGCCGACCGCCAGATCGCAGGGCCATCGGGGGCCCGCGCAGGCAGGTCGGCTGGCGCCGCGCAGCCTCCGCTCGGAAGCGGGCCGCACATGTGCGCGGGCAGGAGTGGGCCATCCACAGGCTGCTGCTGAGAAGCCGCCTCGGTGACCTCTGGGTTGAGGGCCTCCAGGGGGTTGTCCTGCATACGCTCGAGCCTGCGCTGCTCAGCCTCGCGCTTGGCCCGAGAGCGCTTGCTGTTCGGGTCCGCAGCCTTCTGCTCCGCTGGAGGGTGCGTGAAGGAGAAGGGAGTCGGCAGGATCAGAGCCCATGCTGGCGCCGACTGCGAGGTATACTGCGCCACAAGGCCCATGTGGCTCTTGTGGTCTCCCATGGTGTCCGCAAAGAGTTTGGCGGGCACGTGATGACCTGGCCCTCCGATGACAGCGTAGTCCAACATGCGACCACCTGTGAACTGAGTGAAGGAGACATTGGAGGGCTTACAGATGCGGCCGTCGACGTAGTTGACCCATCCTGACTCCTCCAGCTCCGTAGGCACCAGGTTCCAGTCGCCAATAGCGATCCAGTCCCCCGCGAGGCTCTTGATAACGGCCCCCAGGTTCTGTAACTTGATGAGGTTCTGGCCAGCCACCCCGATGGAGGTGGTGAGGTACACGATGAGCACCGTGAGCTGGCCATGATGCATCTGGATGGTGAGCGCCTGGAAGTCCCAGAAGTCTATGGGCCCTGCTATGAAGTGCGGCTCTGGCTTCCTGTGGCGCAGCTGTCCCTTTGTCTGATTGCGGTAACGGGCCAGGTGGCCCAGTGATGAACACTGCAGGTGGCGTCGAGCTCCCAGAACCACTCCACCTGCCTTCTGCACTGTACCGTCGGCTCGCGACGGTGAGATAACTGCCTTCCAAGCTGATGCGTCAAACTCTGCAAGCACTAAGTCACTGGTGCGCTCGCTCTCATGAGTCTCCAACAGACCGAGGATGTCCGCCTGGAACGGCGGCGACTTCACGATCTTCTTGCACTTTGGCCCCCAGTCGGTAATGTTACGCACGTAGATCGCGCGAAAGCTGGGCTGGCTAAAGGTCCTCCTTATCTTTGGTTCGCTCCTCATGGGCGCGAGCCCGCGCGGCCCCAGCAAGCTTGGTGGCTGCATCCGATCGCTCGGCTGCACTGGCTGCGGCAGGAACGGCGGCGGATGCGGCGGTAGGAGGTGCAGCATCAGGGCCAGGGCGAACGCCATCACCGCCGCCAGCTGCTGCAGCCGGTGGCGCCGCGGCGCTGCCCGTGCCCGCCTCGGCGGCCTGAGCCCCAGTGCCGTCGGCCTCGGTGCGAGGCCGCTTGGCGCGGAGCCTGCTGCGCAAGGCTTCCAGCTCCTGCTTGCGCTGCTGGATGGCCGTGGCGCCTGAGCCGAAGACCTCCTTGACCTTCGTCTTGAGCTCGTCGAGGAACTGCTGCTTGAGGTCGGCCCACTTCTTGGAGTCCTCGGCGTCGAGCTCGAGGTCGGAGGTGTCGAAGGCCTCGCCCTCGTCGAAGGCGAGGTCCTCCCCGCTGAGGAGGAGCTTGCTGAGGTTGAGGCCACCTGCCGTCGACGCGAATGCCGAGGGCGCCCGCGTGCCGCGCGCCTCGTTGATCGCGTCGAGGGCCTCCTGCACCGCGGCCTGGGCGTCACCAAGGGCCTCCGCGCAGTGCTGGGTGTGGGCCTCGCATTCGATGACCCAGTCCTTGGCCTTGCCCTCCGAGGTAGCCGCCTTCGTAAGTGCTGCCGCTGCCTTACGTTCAGCTGCCAGGAGCCGCTGGTACTTCGCGCCGAGTGACTCTTGCTGGGCTGGCTTGGGCGGCGCGATCTTGTCCTTGAAGAGCGCCAGCTCGGCGCGGCCCTCCTCCGAGAGAGATTTGCCCAGCATGGCCAGGAGGGAGTCAGTGTCATTCGGCTCGGCGTCGGGCGGCTTGAACGAGGGTTGCGACTGCGGCTGCCGCTTGCGGCCACCCTTGGACTTGGGCCAGGCGCTCCACGGCTTCCAGCCGTCCTGCCAGCCCGCTGCCTGCTCACTCTGCAGCGCGGCGTGCAAGCGCATGTCCCAGGCCCCGCGCGGTTGCTGGCTGCGCCATGGGGTGACTGCCAGCTCGAGCGACTTGCCGCAGCTGAAGCACCTGTCTTTGCCCTTCCACGTCCAGTTGTACGAGCACGCCGCACACTTGACATAGCCAGGCTTGGACATGTCTGGTTAGGGATGGAGGCTAGCGAACCCCTCGCCCCAGGTACGCACTCCACTGGGAGCCGCTGGTCGCGCACTGGGGAACGAGGGACCTCCGTGAGGGATGAAAGCTGCCGCGGACTAGCGGTATCCAGTCTTGCCAATGCGGGCTCAGCCCGCGGAAGCATCGGTCTTGAGCCAAAATGGCTCCGGTCGATGGTCTGCAGACGGCCCAAGAGTCCCCCAAGACGCCCCAAGAGACTGTTAAAGGAGCCCCGAAGAAGCAAAAATCGTCCAATTCCCACGAGGAAAATGCACAGGTTTAGCATATCCGCTGTTTGGGACTTCGCAGCGTCCAAGACGGCCCGATGGGCCCCCGACATCGCCCCAAGACGGCCCAAGAGGCCCCCCAGAGGGTTTGAAGACGGCCCAAGAGAGCCCCAAGACTGCCCCAGAGAGCCCCGAGGCTGCCCACAAAAAGCCCAAGATGCCCCCAGAAGGCTCCCAAGAGAGACACGACAGCCATGGGAGACCCCCAAAAAGACCATTGGAGGCCCCCAAAAAGGCCCCAGATAGTTTCAGAAGACCTCTGGCGGGCCCCAGCTCCCCAGGACGGCCCAAAAGGCCCAAGGACGGCCCAAGAGGGCCCCAGGACGGCCCAAAAGATCGCCAAAAACGCTCAGACGGCGTTTTCCTACGAAATACATCGAGCTGACCCGGCGATTTTGGTTTCACGCTTGAGGTTCGAGGTTTAAGTTCCTCGATCGAGAGAAACAGGACATGAATCTAGATTCGAAATTCGACGATCAAAGATTTCCTGAGTGCCTGGAGCCCTCCACGCATTCAGGGAGCTACTGCGACTTCTTCGGCGTGTCATGGGAACGCTCCTTACTTCCTCAAAGGACCTTCGCGCGTGAAAAATCATCATTCCTCTCCCACTCCTGCGCACAAGAGTGCAAGCGCATCGGGCGAACGCGGTGACAGCAGGCACCAGAGATATCAGAAAAATGAGCCGGTCGCCCGTGCAGTCTTCCAGTCCTCCCCGCTGAAGCAAGCGATAATGTATTGCTTTGCCGGGGAGGGTCCGGAACAAAGCGCATGGCGCGAAGCACCACTGCAGTTATGTATATATATATATATATGTATATATATACAGTTTTATATATATATATATATATATATATATCATATTAAGATAAATAAACATGTGCACGCGTGGTTGCCTCTGCCGGGCGCGCCAACTCGTTTGGCGCACATGGGCGCCCCGCGCCGCGCCAGCAACGTTTTGCTCCAAGTCTGATATAGCGGCCACCCCATGCTTTGTATCGGGCGTGAAGCAGGCGTGGAGGCGAGGGGGGCCAAGCAAGAGAAGGATGAAGGTCCAGGCGATCTGACTTCCAGCATTGGTAGACTCCGCACTTGCCTGACACGGGGACTACGGTGATGCGCGATGGGTCGCCGACATCAATACCCCCTCTCAACTGCTGGTTTAGGAACCAATACTCTTCCAGGACCTCCAACGCCCATCTGGGCCTCGGGCGACCAATCGTTTCTTGCCGAAGCCTCTTGGGCGAACAGAGTCGAATTCGAAACTGGACTGTCGGAAAGGATCACCGCTACTCGAGGCGCGAACGACTGAAGCAAATGTCAGCCAGCGTTGCCTCCAATAGACTCAAGGAATCAGAGAGCATGCTTGGAATCCGCAAATCAGCAAGCAAGAGTGCAAGCAAGCGCGCAAGCGCGCAAGCAAGCAAGCAAGCAAGCAAGCAAGCAAGCAAGCATGCAAGCATGCAAGCAAGCAAGCAAGCGCGCAAGCAAGCACGCAAGCAAAGCATTGGAAACAAGGGGGTGCCATTGGAAAGGGGGGGTGGAAATAAGGGGATGTGCCATTGGAAAAAGGGGTTTCCCAACGACCAATTACTTATGGTGAACCAGGATTCCTATAGGGCAAGCCTGTTTGGAGAAATACGTATTCGGCTCTGGCCCACTTCAACATGTTACCGAAGAAAAACCCAATCAAACAAAGTCTTTTTAGGGCTATAGGGCTATTGGGCTATAGGGCCTAGGTCTATGGGCCTATATGGCTAAGGGGCTATAGGGCTATAGGACCATAGGGCTATAGGTCTATAGGGCTATATAAATTGATAGGGCCATACGGCCATACGGCGAGAGGGCTGCAGGGCTACAGGGTTATGGGGCTATGGGGTTCTGGGGCTATGAGGCTATAGGGCTATAGGGCCATAGGGCTATGAGAATACAGGGCTATGAGGCTATAGGGCTACAGGACCATAGGGTTATATGGTTATAGGGCTATAGGGCCATAGGGCTATGGGACGATGGGGTTATACGCATACAGCGCTATAGGGCTATAGGGCTATAAGGCTATACGGCCATAGGGCTAGAGGCTAGAGGGCTGCAGGGCTATAGGGCTATGGGGCTATGGGGCTATGGGGCGATATAGGACCATAGGGCTATAGGGCTATAGGGATATAGGGATATAGGGCTATGGGGCTATAGGGTTATACACCTATAGAGTTATAGGGCGATACTGCCATAGGGCTATAAGGCTATAAGGCTATAGGGCTATAAGGCTTCAGGGCTATAGGGCTATAGGGCTATAGGGCGCTTGGGCTATTGGGCTACTGGGCTATTGGGCTATAGGGCTATGGGGCTATAGTGCTATTGGACTATAAGGCTATTAGGCTATGGGGCTATAGGAATATAGGGCTATACGGGTATAAGGTTATAGGCTCTAGGGTTCCAGGGCGTTAGGGCTATAGGGCTATAATTCTACAAAACTATAGGGCTACAGGGCTATTGGGCTATAGGACAATTGGGTTATGGGGCTATAGAGCGATAGAGCTACAGGGCTATAAGGCTACAGGGCTATACGGCTATAGAGCTATAGGGCTAAAACTCTGTAGGACTATAGGGCTATAAGACTATAAGGCACCCGGGCACCCGGGCACCGGGGCACCCGGGCACCTGGGCGGGCCGCGGAAATCGGTAGCGAAGCTCACCTAACCATACGAATCCGCTAGGACCCCTACAAACGCAAGCTCTGATTGGGGAAAATAATGCAGCGCGTCGTTGCCCAGCCTGGTTTGTAACACGTGAACTAACGAATTCCAGGGCCCGTGCATTGAAATTGGTAATATTGACCTGCGTCGTGCTGAACCGTAATATATCACGGGGCCCCTTTAGCTGAACGCGTCCAGGTGATGCGCCAACTCTCACCCGTATCTCAAGTTTGCCTAAATTCACGCGCCCAAAACAAAGAGTTAGAAACGATGTAGCCAATCGCTGTGGAGCCAGAAAGCACCAGACTTGTTAAGCAGCGCCATGCAGATTGATTTGCGCGTTTTGACATCCCTGCACACCTGGGATGCCCGATTCAGATGGCATCCCAAGTCTTTGATATCCTCTAGACTGAATTGCCTGCGCCATGACCCTGGGGTGCGGCGCCCCTGTGGAACGGTGTACACAATGGATTCCTGCGATGTGTACGAGCGTGTATACATACGTGTATATAGATACACTTATACATATATACATACATACATAAATAGATATGTATATATAAAGATATATATACATGTGTATATATATATATATGTGTGTATGTGTGTATATATATATATATATGTGACAGGTGCCGTGCAAACGTGGCGGACGCGTGGGTAAAACCGAATGAAACAATTCAGCTGGCTGCACAAGTGCACAGGCACGGGAAAAAAGAGGGAAAGAGGAGGGAGGGGCAAGGCATTTTACAAAAGCGGGTGAACTGTCGTCGCCAATTGCTGTGTCGGGCGGCCCTGGCGCCTGCAGAGGGCCCAATTATTGGGGGCACCGTCGGCCTCGCACACTAGCTAGCGAGGCGACGCTATGAAAAACGGTTTTCTTGTATAGGTTTGCTTGCAGATCGCAAATATCCCGGACACTGGGTTCGAACCCGCGATGTCGAGCACAGTCGTGTTCGACACTCCTGGAATAGCCGGTATACACATATCTATATATATATAATACATACATACATACATACATACATACATGCATGCATACATACATACATACATACATACATACATACATACATACATACACATATATATATATATATGTATATATATACATATACATATATATGTATGTGTGTACCGATCGTCGCATCATCCGGTGGCACAACGTTGCCCATCGCCTTCGTGGCGCTCTTCTCCCTCCTGGGCGTCGACCTGGTTAAGTGGCGCGTCCCCTTATGCAGTGCTTGAGCCTGGTGTTCGCGACGTGCCGCTGACGGCTACACCATCTCCGTCGCCTTCCGGGTCTTCGCCCCCGGTCCTCGTCCGCGGCGTACCTTCTCCTGTGCAAGCTCTTCGGCACCGCCTGCACCCCAGGTTCCACCTGCTCCGGCCGCCTGGGGCCCCGCCTTCCTGTGCCCTGTCTCATTAATTAAAGCTGCGCGTAGCCCGCCTAGCTTTTAGCGGAAGAGGTTCGCTCTCGCCCCGCCGACCAAAAAGTGTGTACAGATCGTGTCCTCGCGTCCGCCAAAGCTGCGAACAAAAAATGTCGTTGCCTTCCCATCTTTTCTACATCCTCACCATCCTCATTGTCATCGCCAGCATCATCCTCATCGCCAGCAATACCGTCATCAAGAGCATAATCACCTCCACCGCAGTCGTCATCATCATCTGCATCATCATTTCATCACCACCACCACCTTTTTCACCTTCAGCAACATCATCGTCATCAGCACCACCACCATGGTATCATTGATGGTCCTCCCTTCCATTATCTTGATCAAGACCCCTCCCTCCCATCCCTGCCTTCCTCCCCCATTATTACCCTCA